CAGATAAATTAATTATTTGTTTGTACACTATGAATATAAAATACAAATTATACATTTTTCATTGATAAATGTAAAATGCGCAATACAAAGCATTAGGCATATTACGACATACCTTCTCAGCTTCCCGTCGAAGGTAAAATATAAAAATCATTTTTTATAATTTTAATTTCATAATGCTATAACTTTATGAAAAATATATATATCCATACAATTTTTTTATGATAAATACTATTGTATACCTCTCTCATTCGGCCTACTTTTTATAAATAAAACCCTTTCCCTTTATACATTTATTCAAATATTATTACCTTATTATATAAATAAGGTAATAGGAGCATTAAATACAAAATAAAAGAGTTTTTTATGTTAGTGTTTTTAATCATTGTCAGATATCATTATACTTGACCCAACAATAACATGTCCCAAATGTGTCGTAACCTCACTGTGCTGGGTTTTTTTATTTTATTTATTTTAAAATACTTTATAAGGGCTACCATAGTAATTAGTTCACCAAAAAAACTACAAAATAACATAATTTAATTATAATAAGGATGAATAAAATATTATCATGATTTATAACATTGCTGATCATACTAAGCATAGTAAAATACATAATTATTTTTCAATCAAACAATTTCTACTTAAACATGGCACGTCCAAAACTTGGAACATAGGTATAAAAAGTCTTTGATGTCTGTTTTCATCGAGAAGACAAAATAAAGTCCGATATTTGTTTATTAATATTAAATTATATTACATAAACTTTAATTTAAAATTTATATAAAAGTGTCAGACTTTCCGAAACACTTTCAAAAATTAAGTTGAAAAAATTCTTCTTTCTATATGCATTTTTTAGTTTTGAATCCCCCCTGTAAATAGGTAAATGGTCCAATTGTATACGAATACTACTTCTCATTAAAAATTACATTGATTTGGTCATTTTTGATAAAGTTATGGCAGTTTTAAGTAAAAAAAATTGGAAAAATGTCGATAATTAGCGATTTTTGAATTTGTAATTTTTTTGGAGATTTTCCCCATTTACGGAAAATGAATGAAATTTTTTTAATTTTTGAGAGTAATGTTTTCGACTAGATACAATTTATGATCTTTTGACGTATCGTTAAAATAAATCGGTTCTGAAGAGCTAAGAAGAAAAGGTAACAGACACAAAAAAAAAAAACATCAAATTAAAAGTAATATTTTCTCAGCTTCCTATCGAAGCAAAAATATAAAAATTCTTTTTTATATTTTTAATTTCACAATGCTAACACTTTTTGAAAAATATAAATATCCATACAATTTTTTTATGATAAATACTATCATACACCTCTTTCATTCGACATACTTTTTTTAAATAAAACCATTTCCCTTTATATATTTAATCAAATATTACACTTACATATCATAAAATTTGTAATCAAGATATATATAAGGAAATAGGAGCATTAATTACAAAATATTTAACGAAATAAAAGAATTTTTTATGATAGTGTTTTTAATCACTGTCAGATATCATTATACTTGAGCCAACTATGCCATATCCCCAGTGTGCTGCGACTTTACTGTGCTGGGTTTTTTTATTTTATTAATTTTTAAATACTTTATAAGGGCTGCATAGTACTTAGTTCACCAATAAAAAATACAAAATTACATAATTTAGTTATATTAAGACTGTATAAAATATTATCATGATTAATAACATTGCTGGTCATACTAAGCATAGGACAATCAATAAAAAGTATGTTCCATTAAAGAAGTAAACAGAAAAATGATAATAGATACAAAACACCACCAATCAATTATATTCCATTATGTAGTATTAGATAGTTTGTTAACTAAGTAAATAATTACAGTACATTAATATAATTACTGAAGATTATATTGCTCAATAAAATTATACAGTGTTAATTGTATATCAATAAAATATTCCGGAAACAATATATATTATTTATGTACGGAAGTAAAACAATCGCAAATCGTAAAACATGTCAAAAATCATTGTGCAAGTTGTGATCATAGTGAATTAAATATAAGCTAAAGAAGTTTGCTGTCTAATTCTTTATTTTACAGTGTGGAAGTTTTTCAAAGCCCAGATCTTTATAACAAGATTTGCTAACATTTTCACAAAAATTGTCAAAGAAATTACATGCGTTAAGCATAATTTGCATTGAACACTCAGGATTTAAATTATTTGATATATTTTCTAGATTCCTAAAATAGTTTACATAATACTGAACACTTTTAAATTTGTCATCTTTATGGCACAGGGTATCAAATATCTTTATTTCACTCGATAACTGAGTACTAAAAACATTAAACTTTTTTTTAAAAATGATGAGAATTTGTTGAATCATTTTTTTATCATCAATATTTTTCAGAGAAAAATCATTATTCTCCAACAAACTGAGAAATCCTGCAACCCATTCAAAAACATTCTGTAAATTTGATCCAGAGATAAAATTATTTAAAGTAACTAAAGCTTCATATAAATCTTCAAGCATTGTTTTTGATTTAACGAATGAGCTGAATAATTTAATTAAACAATTATGGTAATTATTATATTCATCTTTATTGCATATATATAACATAGCAGAAAATAATGTAAGATAGTCTTTTATTATTTCTGTAAATCTACATGTTAATAATTGTGATACGTGTTCCTTTTTTATTTGAAAATTTATGTAATTAACTTCATCATTTATTATATGACCTACACTGAATTGTTTACCAAAATAAACTATACTAATGTGGTTCATTTTTTTCCAACCAGATTCCTTACGAATAATATTAAGAGCTTCAATTCCATCATTTTGATTTGTATCTGGGTTTATTGGAGGTATGAATCTAATTTAAAAAATATGTATTGATTATTAATAAATATATAAAAAATAAACATATTTAAATATTGATGATTGAAACATTATTTTATTTTGAGTTAAAAAATCAAATATCATTAAAATATAGAATTTGTATTATAACTTATAATTTATTTGTTAAATTAATAAGAAATAAATAAATAATTAAAATTCAGCAAAGATTTTAGCTTCGATGCGAAGCTGAGAAGGTATTAGTTTCACTAAGATGTGTTTTTTTTTATTTTTTTGTGTCTGTTACCACTTTATCTCAACTCTCACCGAACCAATTTCTTTCAATGATACGTCAAAGATCACAAATCTTATCTAGTCGAAGACATTATCCTCAAAAATTGAAAAAAATTCACAAAAATTGAACAAATTAATATTTTTTTTTTAATAGATGCATAATGTTCTTACCTATCATTTGATAAATTTTTTTTATAAATTGGACCCTTTACCTGGCCACAGGGGGGATTTGAAATGACAACTTTTTCACAAAAAATTAATTTTTTCAACTTGACTTTTGAAAATGTTCCGGAAAGTCTGACACTTTTATATATATCTTAAATTAAAGATAATGTAATATACTTTATTTATATTCACGGTGAAAATGGCTACCGAATGCTATTATTGTGTAAAAATTCTCTATTTTATTTTTTTAATTTTTAACTTTATAATGCTATAATATATTGAAAAGTATATGGATCAATACAATTTTTTTATGAGAAATAATATATTTTAATAATCCCTTTTTCATTCGACATACTTTATCTTAATCAAGATATTAATCAGGAACTAGCAGATCATGTAGCTTTTGGAATAATCCACCAATTTTTTAAAATTATATACTATCTAATGATTTGCATTGAAACGTTTTTCTTTTGATAGTGATTTTAATCGCTGTCAGATATCATTATACTTGATCCAACTATGCCACATCACCACTGTGCTGGGTTTTTTAAATTATACTAATATATCAATTCAAACTATATTAATAAGTACTTCTTTCATAAATTTCTATGTGCTCTTTTATACTTTTGATTATATAACATAGATAATTTATAATATATATGACAGTAATGAAAATGATAAGATATACTTCGATACAAATTTTTTGATAGTGTTTAATTTTAAAAAACTAGTAGATTATTCAAAAAGCAACATAAATTGCTATTTCTTTATTTATATCCTAGTTGTTACTTATATGATATTGTTAAAGTGCAATATATTATTTAAATAATTGCCAATTATAATAATTAAATATAGTATGAAATTTATGTTCAATAATTTAATACTACAATTTTTACCGAGAAGTAACTAATAATTTAAAGTAGTATATTTCGTTATTTCTATGGCCAATATGTATAAAAATCAAAAAGGTTTGAAGCGATGTATTATAAAAAAATTTTAGTAACTTATGAACCCTCTGCTGTACAAGGTACTTTCATCAGAATCAAGGATATTATTTTCGATTTCAATTTTACGCATTTTTCCAAATCAACAATTAGACTTTTTCTATCACTTCTAACTTTTGATATTATTACAAATTAGTTAAAAATTAGCATTTATTTATAAAAAAAATTATTTAAAACAAAAAAAATTGATTTTCTTATTATAACTGATTTTAATTTTTAATATGTTAAAAATAATCATTGTAAATATAATTTTATCAACCTATTTTTTTGGTCCTCAAAGTTGATATTTATGAAATTTCAAGTTTAATAATGATAACATTAAAAAAATATTATCATAAATAAAAAAACCCAGCACAGGGTGGTCGCGGCACAGTGGTGACGTGGCATAGTTGGATCAAGTATAATGATATCTGACAGTGATTAAAATCACTATCAAAAATAAACGCTTCGATGCAAATCTTTAGATAGTGTTTAATTTTAAAAAAATTGGTGTTTTATTCCAAAAGCTACTTGATCTGCTGGTTCCTTATTAATATCTCGATTAAGATAAAGTATGTCGAATGAAAAAGGGTTTATTAAAAAGAAAAAAATTATTTCTCAAAATTGTGTGGATCCATAAACATTTCAATAAGTTATAGCATTATAAAGTTAAATATAATATAAATAATAAAATCGAGAATTTTCACACGAAAATAGCATTCGGTAGCCATTTTCGCCGTGAAGACAAGTCCAGAGGTCAAATTTTTTTTTTTCAAATTAAAGTATATTACATAAGCTTCAATTTAAGATATATATAAAAGTGTCAGACCTTCCGGAACATTTTCAAAATTTAAGTTGAAAAAGTTTTACTTTCTATATGCATTTTTTATATTTGAAGCCCCCCCATATATAGGGAAATAGTCTGATTTAAAAAAAAAGTATATCCAATGAAAGATGTATATAAATACTACTTCTCATGAAAAAATTGTATTGATCCATACATTTTTTAAAAAGTTATAGCACTTTAAAGTAAAAAATGTAAATTATAAAATCGAAAATTTTCACACAAAAATAGCATTCGGTAGCCGTTTTCACCATGAAGACAAGTCCAGAGGTCAAATTTTTTTTTTTCAAATTAAAGTATATTACATTAGCTTTAATTTAAGATATATATAAAAGTGTCAGACCTTCCGGAACACTTTCAAAAGTTAAGTTGAAAAAGTTCTACTTTCTATATGCATTTTTTATATTTGAAGCCCCCCCATATATAGGGAAATAGTCTGATTTAAAAAAAAAGTATATCCAATGAAAAATGTATATAAATACTAATTCTCATGAAAAAATTGTATTGATCCATACATTTTTTAAAAAGTTATAGCACTTTAAACTAAAAATTGTAAATTATAAAATCGAAAATTTTCACACAAAAATAGCATTCGGTAGCCGTTTTCACCATGAAAACAAGTCCAGAGGTCAAATTTTTTTTTTTCAAATTAAAGTACATTACATTAGCTTTAATTTAAGATATATATAAAAGTGTCAGACCTTCCGGAACATTTTCAAAAGTTAAGTTGAAAAAGTTAATTTTTTGTGAAAAAGTTGTCATTTTAAATTCCCCCCTATGGGTAGAAAAAAGGTCAAATTTACAAAAAAAATATACCAAATAATAGATAAAGATATCAAGCATCTATAAAAAAAAAAATTATATTCATATATTCATTTTTGAAAAAGTTATGACAGTTTTTAGTAAAAAAATTGAAAAAATTTCGAAAATTAGCGATTTTTAAATTTGTAATTTTTTTGGAGGTTTCCCCCATTTACGGGGAACGAGGGAAATTTTTTCAATTTTGAAGGGTAATGTCTTCGACTAGATACGATTTGTGATCTTTTGACGTATCGTTGAAAGAAATCCGTTCGGTGAGAGCTGAGAAAAAGTGGTAACAGACACAAAAAAAAAA